CCGGGAATCCTTTCTCATAATAACTATAATTCCCGTCTTGTTCATCATCCTGTGAGGAAAGAGTGTGTGTGGGGTTGGGGTGGGATATAGGCAGGTAGACAAAAATTACCTACCATATTGGGTGAACTGTAGAAGGAGGATATTATTGGAGATGCTAAGAACAGATGGATAAGAGAACCAGGACTCAGGAATATGGTCATCATAAGTCATTCTCCTTTTCATTCTTGGATGGAATTGGCAGAGTAGCCAACCTAAATGGTAGTAGAATACTGTATGGCTACATCACATAATTGTGGCCAGAAAACACCACAAGTAACTTAAAACAATGTCTAAGGGAAAAACCCTGAGAAAAACCCACTCCTTCCTTCTCCCTTCCCTAAAAATGCTCACACAAGCTCATACACAGATTCCAGTCAGAGGATCTGAGTCTGATTTCATGTTCTATCACATTCTGAGTGAACTGGGGGAAAAAATCTCTCAACTGCTCTGAAAAATGGAGATGAAGATTAAGCAACCTATTCAGAAACCTTATCAACTGTTAAGTTTTACTTCTTTTGTACGTTTGCCTACATGAGTAAAACGTGCCTGTGCAGACGCTACACTGCTTGTGACCATGGCTGCCCAAGAGACCTTGTGTGGCTAGATGACTCTCCTTTTTAATCAACCATGAGTAAGCCATTTTCTTTTTGAAGGGTGCAGGAGAGCAAGCTCCCTCCTCCCCCAATTCTGCAGACAAAAAGAATATGTCAACAAATATATCTGTACTGAAAATAAATGTGTGTTCTTGGTAAGGCTCATGATAAGGTTGCTCATTTTATTTTGTAATGGATTATCTAAGTCAGTTTTCCAGATAAGCAGCCAAGTTCGTCTCATGATTAGAATCATTATCTTCCCAAAGCTACCACATAGGATGAAACCAAAGAATAGTCAGCTCGCCTACAGAAGCAGATTCCTGGAAGATGTTGGAACCTCTTCAGAGTTAATGGAAAACCTTGCAGGAGTTATGGTAATAATTAATCAAATGACACTTTACCCTGTTCTTATTTCTATTTCTATCTGATTGACTTAATAATACCTTATATTTAGGCATCTATTTATAACACAAATCCTCAGGAAACTCAATGTAACATAATGTTATTCACCCATAAAATGGTGTTTAAAAAAAATCTGGGGAAATGTACTTGATCTACATTCCAGAAAACAACACAGCCCACATTGTTGTTCAAGTCTTTTGAATGACTTCACATTTTCTTCTAAGGACAATACCCACCGGCTTATAACCAGTGGTGCTTAAGAGCAAGGCATTTGTGCCCTAGTTTCTTCATCTGTAACTTGTTAAGGCTTTTTGAGTGAGATAACGTCCACTGAGGGCCTGGCAATTAGTAAATGATCAATATTACTACTATCACTTATAATGCTGTGTGTTTCATTTTCTCACTCTTCCAGTGGGAAATAAGCTCTATGATGCTGGATTCTTACCTGTTGAGTACACGCAGGCAGCTGCTAAATGTGTCTCCAACGAAACATAAAGAAGAGTCTCTTGGTGAGGATGGTATTTCTCAAAGAATTAGGGTCAAAGAAAATTCCCCTAAGAAACTCTAAAATTGATACTGGCTCGGCACCTGTAGCACAGTGGTTACAGAGCCAGCCACATACACCCAGGCTGGCGAGCTCAAACCTGGCCTGGGACAGCTAAAACAATGACAACTCCAACAAAAAATAGCTGGGCATTGTGGTGGGCACCTGTAGTCCCAGCTACTTGGGAGGCTGAGGCAAGAGAATCACTTAAGCCCAAGAGTTAGAGGTTGCTGTGAGCTGTGATGTAACAGCACTCTACCAAGGGTGACATGGTGAGACTCTGTCTCAAAAATAAATACATAAACAAACAAAAGCGATATTGAAAGCACATGTAGTGAGATTAAGATGGAGTCAGGCAGGCTAGGGCAGACACGACTGGGCAGTTCAGGTCTTGCCCAACCTTCATCCCCTATCTCCTATTCTTAGAGTTTTGTAAATTTAGCTCCTACCCTAAAGGTGCCTACCTTGAGTACTTCAGGTGGATTGATTTAGAAGATTAACTTTTAAATTGGAATGTAGCAGGGGTCCTCAAACTTTTTCAACAGGGGGCCAGTTCACTGTCCCTCAGACCGCTGGAGGGCCAGACTGCAGGCCCCAGGACAACTTGGCTGCTAAGCAGGATGGGCAGCAGTGGCAAAAACACCTGGCAGGCTGGATAAATGTCCTAGGCGGGCAGCATGGGGCCTGTGGGCCAGAGTTTGAGGACAACTGTTAGGTCACTAAGTTATGCTGACTATTATTTGGAATAATCCAAATAATTGGATTGGTGTGGTCTTTGCTTTAAATTTTTGTGTATAAACTGTGATTTTGGAAATGGACGAACAGAGCAGTCTTGGAGAGGCTACTCTCACTGTTCTCCAGAATCCCAGGCTTCTGAAAAGTTTGGTGGACCCATCCTCATCTCTACATATTGGCTAACAGTGACAGGCGGCCGGATCGGTAACAACATCACCTTAATCTTCAGCACCTAGGGAAATTTTGGATGCTTTCAAGCAGGACAAGTATATGACAATGCATAGCAAGCAAGATAACTGCATATTTTAATCCAAGTCCATTGAGACTTTATTATGTGATATAGCATTGCAAGGGTTCAACAAGAAAATACAGCATGATCCACTTTATTCTTCAAACTTATTTGGCAAATGAAGGCTACTAGAGATTTATAAAAATTAATAGTGTCTAAGTCAAAGTACACCCAACTATACCAGAAAAAAGGAGGGCAGAAAAAAACTACCGCATGGAATAAACTGACTATGCACCAACATTGTGTTCTACACATCAGATAGTTGCTTCTAAAATTACTTTAACACTTCTGCCCAAAATACTTTTAAATAACAAAATAACTTTTAAATAAAGTTATCACAAAAAAAGTTTATTTCGGCTCGGCGCCTATAGCTCAACCAGCTAAGGCGCCAGCCACGTACACCTAAGGTGGCGGGTTCGAATCCCCAGCCCGGACCCGCCAAACAACAATGATGGCTGCAACCAAAAAATGGCCAGGCGTTGTGGCGGGCGCCTGTGGTCCCAGCTACTTGGGAGGCGGAGGCAGGAGACTCGCTTGAGCCCAGGAGTTGGAGGTTGCTGTGAGCTGTGAGGCCACGGCACTCTACCCAGGGGGACAGCTTGAGGCTCTGTCTCAAAAAAAAAAAAAAAAAAAAGTTTATTTCAAAAAGTTAGTCCGTTAAGAGTTAGAAAATGCAGATTTGCAAAATAATAAAAATCTCGCTGCACAAAAGAAAACTAAAATCTAAGCAGCTCTAATCAGCCTTGATTAGAGTCTAAACCACCACCACCTGAGGAATCCAAAGCAGGAAGTTAGCTTTATTCAGAAGGAATTATCCATAAAATTAATGGATATTTGCATACCATTAACCATAAAATTAGAGTTAAGCCTTTATATATTTTCATATTGTAAAGTTGTATGTCTGTTAAAATTTATTTACAAGGAGAAGATAACTTTCCAGTAACATTCAGGTTTTTGAATAATTCTGAGACTATGAATTTTTATGGAACAGCACCTTTAAATGTTTGCTCACTGAATGTTTTAAACTATGTTTGTCACAGAAGTTAAATTTGCTTACCATTCTTGTGACCATTTATTTCTTTATCTGGTTATATTTAATCAGTATAAAAGACTGCTACTTTTCTTAGAATTAGGTACATAACTTGCTCCTTAATTATTTTGTGATAATATAGTTAAGTGACTTGGATTAACTTAAAAACAATTCCATTTAGTTGATTAGTAAACAATCCATTCAGGCATTGTTTTAGCCTGTTGTAGATAGCAATGTACAAAACAGACTAGATTCCAGCACCGGGATGCTATTTTCTATTCTGGGAGACAGTAAATTAAAATGTAAAAGGTAGGTAATTTTGTCTGTTTATTTGTTTATTTTTGAGACAAGAGTCCCACTCTGTTGGCCCTGGCAGAGTGCCATGACGTCATCTTAGCTCACCGCAACCTCAAACTCTCGGGCTAAAGCGATCTCCTGCTTCAGTCTCCAGAGTAGCTGGGACTACAGGCACACTCCACAACGTTTGGCTAGTTTTTTTCTGTTTTTAGTAGAAACAAGGCCTCAATCTTGCTCAGGCTGGTCTCGAACTCCTGATCTAAACCAATCCACCCGCGTCTGCCTCCCACAGTGCTAGGATTATAGGCATGAGCCATTGCGCCCAGCCAAGGAGACAATGTTAAATAATGATACGCGTCCGGGAGAGGAATAAGCACAGAACAAACGGTATCTAGAATGACCATGCCTACTAGGGTGGTCAAGGAACGTTTCCCTAATGAGCTAAGAGCTGAATTAGCACTTCAGCAATAACTCAGTATTGTTTCAGTTATTTCTCCCTGAGACCAGACTGTTTCCCCCGGCATATCATGAACATAAAAATCCTCTTATTCTCTTACAGGCGAGAATCTGACGTTCAGAGATTAGTAGGGCAAGTAACTAATTTAAAGTATGCACTTGCCTTTATGGTATTGACTAGACAATGATGTTAAAAGAAAGATTCACCGTAAAGGGTCGGAGAATACTGAGGACACTTTGGCCTCGGCTTTGGTTTATCCCGGAGGGCTCCGGGACAGAGGCCCAGGAGACCTGCGTCCTTTCTTCCCACCTTTCCTCCCATTTCCAACACCACAGCCCAAGCTTCAAGGCCAGAGAAAAACAAAGTAGGCAGGGCTCCCATAAAAGCTGTCGCTTCTCCCGGTGCTTCCAGCTGAGATGCAGTCAGGCGACGTGATGACTTCAAAGCAAGCGCCAAAGCGTAGGTGCAAAAAAAGACAACCAAGACGCCCAACTTCACCTGCAGCCACGCCCTCCCGCCGCGCGCCCGGCTTTGTGGGCGGGAACATCGCACTATCGGGCCCAGCGCCCTACGTCACTTCCGCTGCCTCCGACGCGGGCGTCGCTAATGACGCTACTGTTTCCGGGTTGCTGAGGCCGCCCGCGGCGGCGCCGGTGTCTACAGTAGCTGGTGTCCAGTCTATGGAGTCAGTTGGTGCCGGAGGTGGCGCGGAGGCAGGAGGCGTTGTCCGACTAGGGGCCTCTGCCCCGCCAGGATGTTACCGGGCTTGGCCGCCGCCGCTGCGACCCATAGATGTAGCTGGTCCTCACTGTGCCGGCTCCGTCTGCGCTGCAGGGCGGCGGCCCACGGCTCCAGCGACCGCCAGGGTGAGTGTCTGCGCCGGCGGCCGGTTCCACGACATCTGAACTGGAGCAGGCCGGCCTTGGCGCCTGGTCTGGGGCAGTTCGCCCACTTTCCCTTTCCCACCTCCACAACCTTTCTTTCTGGCTTCTGCCTTTACAGTTCATTCTGACCGGCCTGCGGGGGTCCCCCCAACCCGGGGTCCCCAGCATAACTCCCGCTAGAATTGCGGGCAGTCTACCGGGAGGGTTGCATCGCTGAAGGCGATCATTTTATATCTAAGAAATTCTTACGTGCTCATCGCGGTGTCCGGCGGTGACTCACCTAGGCAGTTGGAAATTGAGGACTCTGCAAAGTTTCTCAATCTTAGTGCTCACCGACTCACCTTCGTTTACGCGTTTGGTTGAGATTTTCTTGCCCTACTTTTTCTGATATTGCCAACTTGTTTTCTGAAATTTCCTAAAAGGGAGGGAGATGCTATTCAGCATTTACGTATCTTTCAGTAGTATGAAGGTATTCCACGATCATTAAGCCCGGTTTGGGACTGAAAAACAAAAGAAAGCTTCAGTTCTATTGAACAATCCTGTAGTTAGTGAAAGTGTTTAGTTAGTGAAAGTGTGGCAGTTGTATCTATAACCTCGTAAGAAGATAGTGGATAAGAATTTTCATTCCTCTGCGTCAGCATTCTTCTTCTGATTAAAAGTTCCTTCAGTTCATCGAGAATTTCCAAAATGACATGGAGCTTGTGAGTTTTAATTACGTTTGCCTTCGTTTTGCCACAGCTTGACGCTGAGAACTAATCTACCCTTAATCTAACCCCCAGATTCTTGGGGTGTCTGTGACCTCCCCGTAGAGGTCAGAAGTTGCAGTCATTCAGGATTTTATGTAGTATAAGGTATGGTAACTCCTATGCTGTGCACGTAAATTAGAATGTATTCATATCTTTTATTTCCAGTAAATGTAAACAGTGGCTCTTTAAATTTCAAATAAATTAATTTTAACAGCACTGTCTTCAGGGGTTTTTGATAGTAACAGAAAAAGTTTTCCCCTATTAACAGTATACCTGCCTGACTTTACATATAAACAAAATGAGTCATCTGCTTATACTCCAAAATCCTCAAGTAAAGTTTCTAACACAGTAGCTTTTATTGACCAAACGATTTTGGCGTTTTACACTGAAATTACCCTGGCTATTAAATTTAACCTAACTTGCCCTTTAAGTGTTGGTAAAAAGGAGTTGAAGCACTGTAATTTGTAGTCTCTATTTTCTGTAGCTGTCATCATGTTGAAAAATTATATGCCCTTTGTCTCATTTGTCTGTGAAACACTGATAAATAAATTACCTAGCTCACTAGTCAGAATGACTTTGCAAAGTCCTTTAAGATGTTATTACAAAAAATTAAAATGTTTTCATATTTAAAAACAATAGGTTTTTTAAAAAATAACCTTGTTTGTGAAAATTTAGTTTCAATAATACTGAAACTTTTTTGTTTTTTGAGACAGAGTCTTCTGTGTCACCCTCGGTAGAGTGCGGTGGTGTCACAGCTCACAGCAACCTAAACTCTTGGGCTTAAGCTATTCTTTTGCATCATCCTCCCAAGTAGCTGGGACTACAGGC